AAGCAAGAATCAGCAGGAAAAAAGCGGGTTCGCAATCAGAATATTACTGGTTGACAGTAATAAAACTAAAGAATAGCTCAGTAATGAAAAGTTATGAAAACTAAAAAAGAATCACATTGCTTTGTTGTTTTCAGAGAATGATGCACACCAAATGGATACAGCAGTCAAGAGTTTTCACATTTAGTTACAAGCACATTTTGAAACTTTGCTATATAGCATAAAATGGCTTTTACCATGTGGAAAATATGGATAAAAAACTCACTGGCTATGCCTTATGGGTCACTGTTACGAGATTGGGAAAAATCAGAAATGAAAGCTTGTTGGAATGGACAGAGTTCCTTTTTTAAAAATGAACAACACAAGGTGGACTCCAACTTCTCATTATCTACAAGATTTCCTGAGACTTTGAAAAAGCTCAGTCATTATTTCTTGAAATATAGAGACAAAATCTGAATTGGTACCACTGTGCCAAGAGAATATGTTCTTTTGATGTTTTAGACTTGAAAGAGCAAAGTATACCACAAATACACTTTATGAATATGAATACACTTGTTTCAGTAATGGTGGAAGCTTCATTGATCTGCCAAATACTTAAGCAGAAACAGTTACAGGCCCAAATAAAAACACAACTCCTGCACCAAGCCCTTAACTCAAAGAAGAGCTTTGCTAAGGCAAGGTGACATCAGAAAGTCACAAAAGAGGGGTGTTATAATGAACACAAGTAGAAAGAAGATAAAGATGTATAGAATGAATATTGAACTTAGAAAATAGTATACCCATCTCAGACTGAAAATGACTGATTGTTCAAACAACCTAAATAAGGTCAATGTCACTTGAGAAAAACATCTAATTGGTGAGAGACATTCCGTTTGGAACAGTCATTTTATGAAGATTTTAAAGAAGATGCTGAAAGGTCTGCAACTGCACACAGTGCTACTTACTGGCAGGCATTTGCATTAGAATTGGCTTCCTACTCCACATGGAGATAGATCTTTAAAATGCCTTTCTTCCTCCCGTCTCTCTCAGCCCATTCCCCATTGTACATTTCTTCCCAATATCTTTACAAGGCTATCCTGAGGCACTGAGGTAACATCATTCCATGACTAGCAAAGGACAAAATCAATATGAATTAATGTACTTAGATGTCTTTGTGTAATGACCACAGTTCAAGGGCAGAACATGATCATCCAATTCAGTATGCAGTCTTCGGGGGTTGGGGGGATACGCAAAACCATTCCTCTGTATGAGGAGTGTGGATAATGAGCCACATAGCGAGGACTCAACAGATGAAAAACATACACACACTGAATTAAGAGTTGTTCTTCTATAGCTCTCAGTTCCAGTTAAATAAAATGGAATAAAGCGTTCAGAAATTTTACTAATGGAATCCATTTTTGCTGTCTGGTTTGGGAAAATAACATTGAAAGAAGAAAAAAGAGCTACCAACTCACAACAAAAGAAGTATTTGAGAAATGTTTTTCAAGTAGGTTTCTGAGCAGATTGTATCCTGGAGACATAATGGTGGACAACAGAAACGCTTATGACAGAAAGAGACAACATCCAGAAAAACTCATCCAGAAAATGAAATAAGGAAACATGGGGCATCTCTTTATTACCCACAAAATATATGTCCCTAGATTCATTCACCTCGACTTCATCCTTTCTGGTGAAATAAAGAAACTGAAAATCGAACCTTGAACTAGAAAAATGTAGGGATTGTGAAGATGAAAAACTAAACCAACTTAAAGATGACTTCTCATCTGGTTTAGTTTCTCATCCTCACAATTCCTACACAACAAAACCTTTAGGTAGAGCAGCTTGCCAGAAGAGTTACGGTTTCAGGACAGTTTTAACTAGTGTTGCCTATTTCTGATTACAATCTTTAAATAAGTTTAGAAAACTAAGTCGACAACTGGAATGATGTCAACACTTCCAAAAGACACGGTGCTAAATAAAGTTAGTTATTAATGTCCATCATCTTGTTATTCCCCCAAACCTACCAGCAACAGTTATCAATACCTAGATCACAAGAGAGGATTCAGAATCACACGTTCAGCCAGTCCAATGGATTCTTCCTTGATGAACCCTAGAACAGGTTCCACATTATTAACACTTGCAGTGGAGATGTCTGGGCAGTTGCAGGCAAACATACATATACGAAATAAAACCTAATTATGGGAACAATTCAAGCTTTCATAGGGCCAATTTTTTCAGCCCATGAAGTTGATGAGTCCTTATTAAAATATTTGTTTTTATGGCATTGTGTCAGTCAGCAGGAGGCCTCTGGGTGAATAACACAACCTGGAGAAGGGACTGAATAAAGGACCTCAGGCACCTAAGCTAGAAGACGAGAACACTGTCGGGGACCTTACAAATTATGGAAATAACAACTATAGGAATCTGAGCTACATGTTTGTCTTATGGGATAGAAGGCAAGGAGCAGTCTGTTTTACAAGGCACTAGGATAAAAATGTTTTGAAAACCATTGGCCCTATTTCCCAATCCAATGAGTGGGGTAGGCAAATTACCAACATAATGCTACAGAGTGAAATCTTTCCAAATAAAGGAAGTGGGTTTTTAAACGCCGAACACGTTATACAGAAAATTGTATTAGACAGCAGCAAATAAAAACAACTCGCTCCATCACCCAGTGGGCAACGGACACTGAATAAAAGGGTTAACTATAAAACAGTATTACATCCAAACTAGCAACAGGCCAATTCAAGTATATACACAATATATTAAAATCATATAAATTATTTATCTATACAAAGGAAATAAACACAGCAAGTAATTGCTGAGAATTAATCAGAAAGTAGACAACCCCCTTGTGCCTAGTTCACTTTGGATGTGTAATGAATTTCTGCCCCGGAATCATTTTTTCATTCAAACACGGAAAAACTAATACCTCTAATACCATCAGTATAGAAAAAAAGTAAAAGTATCCAAAACAAATGGTAATGCTAACACTGAAGAGATACTGAAACATATGGAAATGCTAACACTGAAGAGATACTGAAACGTACAGGCAAGTCCAAATCTACTAATTTTCCAAGAAAGTAGTAATTACTGCTTTCTTTTCAACTACTCCCAAGTCAGGAATTTTAAGTCACCTAGGCCATGAATTAATCTTACAAGTCACATCTGACGGTAATATAAATGCATTACTCAGAACTACAAGGGGCTAGAGAGCAAACTGGGATGTAAATGAATCAATTATTAACTATTGAAAAATGTTTGCACAATGAGGGTGGCATCACAGAGACAAGCTTAACAAAACAAATTCATGACAGATTTCAATAGTTATGGAACACCCAATCATGTGCATTATTAGGAACCCATCGACAGACAGCCAAGACTAGAAATGCCTGAAACTGCCTATCAGAGTAAGACTAATACCTATAATTTCTGCAAGAAAAAGACCAAAATCTTCTCTCTAGCGAGGTGAGGGAACTCAATTAAATGACTGGATTTAGAATGGGTTGGTACCTCTACTTGCCCATAGATCCAAGGTATGCAAGGGCAACTGGAATAATTACCAAAAGGCAGAGGTAATTGATTAATCAAAGAGTTAATTAATAGAAACAATTAAAATAGTACAGATGACTGGATATGTTTTTAAAAAATATATAAATCACACCAAATGGAAAACTGAAGAAGCCTTTTCACATATTGTGCCTTATCGCTACTGGGAAATGTACTTCCATTCATAATGAAGAGTTCTGAACCATGTTACTTATATATCCAACAGTGTCACTTTTCTAAGGCAGTGGTTCTCAACCTGTGGGTCCCCAAATGTTTTGGCCTTCAACTCCCAGAAATCCTAACAGCTGGTAAACTGGCTAGGATTTCCGGGAGTTGGAGGCCAAAACACATGGGGACCCACAGGTTGAAAACCACTGTTCTAAGGCTTCAGTCCATGTAATGTGGTAACGCCTGTAAAGGATGAAGTCACATAGACAGGGTTAACCTAGTTAGGAAGAGCATTTGTGAAAGACTACATACTAGGACCACACACACAGGTGGGATGAAGCCACAGAAAAGTGGCACCATGCTGATGCAGGAAGATGATGAAAGTTAACCATGAACTGGCCTCATATTGAACCTTGAAGAACAATTCTGTGACATGTTGAAACAGTAGAAAACAGGGCAAGGTGGTAATACAATCACTGCCAGATACCTGGAAACTCAGAAACCATCCTTTTTACACACCAAAAACATATCTCACAAATCTGTTGGACCACACAACCCGTATCTTGAAGCCTACCCACATTATGTTTTACAAATATTGATAAAGGGGAAAAAGGAAAAGAAAAATATACCCCTGTGTCAAAAAGACATAACATGGGAAGTAGCCAAGACAAAATGATCCCCAAATTTCAAGTAATTGTGTCTTTTTTTTTTTTTTGGACAGCTGCATTACACCACACTGCAGAATTCCTTATGTTTGTGCTATTGTTCATGAAGCTAACCTTTCATGTTCACAGCTTGTTAAATGCATGTCTCTCGTGAACATTCACCTAGGTTTACCCACACATTCGGTACATCCTCTTTGAGAATGAACTATTCAAGTTAATTATATTGCAAATTATAAAAGAGAGAGAGAGAGAGGACAGACAAATTACATTCCGAATGCTTCTTTTAGGTTGAAAAAATATGTGTCTTAAAGGCTTGCCAAAGTTTAGAAGAAAAGCATTTCAGTTACAAAATCCAAGAATCATTAAAAAATCATTAAGACATTGGTTTTTCTGTTCTTACAAATATTACAAATATACTACAGTTTGACCAAGAAGATGTCATCATGAACATGCTGCCGTTAAGCATGCAATGCCGCTGATAACTGTTTGGTTCCAGGTATCAATGTACCTTCACACCCTATGGTATCCCCAACTGCTAATTCACCCACCCCACCCAAAGCCCTCATTAATAACAATCCTATAAAAAGGGGAGAGGGGGTAAAATCTGGAGTTAGTGGCAAAATTCTTTATCTTCACAGTAAATTGTTAAGAAAGTGAGCTTTATTGAAGTCATCTGTAAAATGGCATCAGTCAATTGGACCCTGAAAAATAAGTTTGACGCAGTTCTGATCTCCAGAGAGCTGAATAGCGCAGAAAGGACAGGCAGCATGGAACGCGTGAGTACCGTGTGGCAGTGGGATCTGTGACCAGTATTTGGCAGACTTTTCAGAGCACACGTGGCCACAGGGGGTGAAAGCGTAAGTCGGCGGACCAGCATCAACGTAAAAGCCTGCCTCACAGCCAAGCCAGAGAGGCACGTAGGGACCAACGGTTCTGCACATGGGACACTCACGCTCATTGGCTTCTGTGTCACTGCGATGTCCCCAATTGTGATAGCCATGGACGTGGCCACAGCTGAGGTAAGCCCATGGTTGTTTTTCTTCTACCACTTCTTTGCGGTTGATGCTGGGAAACGCCAGTGTATTCAGCCCCACAGGGCACTGAGGCCTCGCAGCATTGATCTCTTGCCGGAGAGCCTCGATGTGTTTCTGAGTTGGAGTGTGAAATAAGCCATCTGCCGTTCTCCACAGGAGTGTGGCTCCACACAGATCAATGAGAGAACCATCTTGAAGGACATTGGTTTCATTTTCTACCTAAAAAGGCAGGCACAGAAGAAAAACCAGTCAAGTGCTAATTCATTCTGAAACAACCCCACATACCCCAAAACAATGAGTCTCTCATTTTCCCCTCCTGTTAAAATTTAGTGTATCTTTTGCTTCTTATCTTATGCATCATATTAATACAGTAAGGCAGCTGAACAAATGCTGTGATGTAGCCATAATTCTATAATATAGCAAAGAGTACTATGATTCCTTTAAAGCAGTGTTTCTCAACTTTCCTAATGCTAAGACCCCTTAATATAGTTCCTCATGTTGTGGTGACCCCCAACCATAACATTATTTTCGTTACTACTTCATAACTGTAATTTTGCTACTGTTATGAATGATAGGTAAAGGTAAAGGTAGTCCCCTGACATTAAGTCCAGTCATGTCTGACTCTGGGGTGTGATGCTCATCTCCATTTCTAAGCCGAAGAGCCGGCGTTGTCCGTAGACACCTCCAAGATCATGTGGCCGGCATGACCGCATGGAGCGCCGTTACCTTCCCGCCGGAGCGGTACCTATTGATCTACTCACATTTGCATGTTTTCGAACTGCTAGGTTGGCAGAAGCTAGGGCTGACAGCGGAAGCTCACGCCGCTCCCCGGAATCGAACCTGCGACCTTTCGATCAACAAGCTCAGCAGCTCAGTGCTTTAACCCACTGCGCCACCGGGGGCTCCTTTTGTTATGAATGATAGGCAAGATGTATTTTCATTCCCTGGACCAAATTTGGCACAAATACCCCATAACCCCAAATTTGAATACTGGTGGGGTTGTGGGGGATTGATTTTGTCATTTGGGAGTTGTACTTGCTGGAATGTAACCTACAATCAAAGAGCATTCTCAACTCCACCAATGATGGAATTGAACCAAACTTGGTACACAGAATTCTCATGGCAAACAGAAAATACCGGAAGAGTTTGATGAGCATTGACCTTGAGTTTTGGAGTTGTAGTTCACCTATATCCAGAGAGCACTATGGACTCAAACAGTGATGGATCTAGACCAAACTTGGCATGAATACTCAATATGCCCAAATGTGAACACTGGTGGAGCTTGGGAAAACAGACTTGACACTTAAGAGTTGTAATTGCTGGAATTTATAGTTCAAAGAGCATTCTGAACCCCAGGAACAACAGAATTAGGCCAAATTTCTCACACAGAACCATCACGACCAACAGAAAATAGTGTGTTTTCTGATGGTCCTTGGCAACCCCTCTGACACCTCCGAAGGTTCCCGGCCCCCAGGTTGAGAAATGCTGCTTTAAAGGCTAATGCACTTTTACTGCAATATAAAAGCTGACTTTCAGATATATGTCGAGGTCTCGCAAGGACTAAACACAAATGTACACTGCAGAGCTTCAAAATGACAAGAGAGGAGCAATGAGAACATTCAAAATTTGCACCATTCAATTTATTAGGGCCTTCAGCTAGAATTTCTTTAAGATGCATTATGCATTTCATGCTCACAACTAAAGCTTTTCTGAAACTTTAGATTCTCCGGCATGCAATTCATCAGTAACAAGTTCAGGTTTAAATGAAGCAGAAAGGTTATACTGCAGACTCTCACATACATGGTCAGAATCATCAATCACAGAAAACTACAGGCTGGAAAGAATACAAAGCAGCACTTTTTGCTTAGTGTTCAGCAAGGATACTTTTTCTTAAAAAATGCAAGATGGACTTTTCCTCCCCTTATAAGGTCACAGTAAAGGACAGGATACTAAGCTACTATGTCTGTGACATATCACAAAACCAAACCAATAGGAACCGAACACAGCACATTTCTTAGCACTGTTGGATGGTCTGGATTCAGTAACATGTCTTGGTAATATCCACCTTAGATTACTGGAATGTGGACTACCTAGGGAAAAATTTAAACGACCAGTTGTGAAACAGGCAATGGGGTTACAGTATTTGTAATTGGAACCTGCTGAAGGGGAGCCTGTCAACCCACTGTGATTTCAGTTTTATTGGTTTCCTATTTGCTTACAAGCTCATTTTCGAGTGTCAATATTAACATGTAATACCACAAAATCCTATGATTAAGATCTCTCAGGAGCGGCCTTTGCTGTATATCACCACCTGCCTGCACTCTTGAGCTGAAGCCTTGCTCTCTATCCCCTTGGCCTCAGGAGGTTAAACACATGAGAATGTAGGACAAGTCCTTTATAGCTTTTGCAACCAGCTCCAACATCCCTCCTCCCCATCCATCTGGCTCTCTCCTTACCAGTTTTAAGATGCTTTTGTTTTGGAAAGCTTTAGGGGTAAAGGATTAGTCCTTTGTTTGCTGTCTTTGGGGGAAGGGTGATGGAGCCTTATTATTTGGACTGTTTGGGATATATATTTTTTTCCAATGGAGTCACTGTGAATGTTACCTTTAGCAGAACAATTGCCTAGAAATTATTTTAAAAGAAGCAGTTTATCATGAATTTGCAACTTACTAGCTTGCCCCTTTGCTGAGCTGATCTTGTTTCACGCAGAGTATACACGTCTCCACAAACTGAAATCTCTCTCCAAACGCCAGGTTTAGATTCTTCAGTGAACCCTCCTTTAGGATGCATGACTAGAACCCCATTTGTTGTTAATCCATCCATGTGTCCATCAGGATTCTTCCACTTTGCTGCTTTTTCCTAAATGCCCCAGAACAAGAAATCAGAGATAACATGACTCAGTCTTTCCACATTTGAAAGGTGAAGTAGTAAAAGCATGCAAGACCACCAACCACACATACAAGTTTTCAGAAGAACAACATATGCAGGAAGCATAAGATTTACAATACCTTGGAGTAAGCATCTCTACAGAACGACAAGCAGTGTGCAGCTAATAGAAGTACAGGGTTAGTCAAAATGAATAGGCCAATAAGAAAATTAATTTTAGACGAATGTATGTTTATTGTAACCAAACTACAGCTACGTAGCGACAGATAAACTATCAAAGTTTTGTCTCACCTTCAGAGATGTTCGATATGGGCGCCCCGTGTGACACGGCAGATGTCCAAGCGATAGTCCAGTTCATTCCACATCCGTTGCAGCACATCCGACGTAATGGCATCGAATGCAGCAACGTCTGGGAAGGTGTTCGTTGAGGTCCTAACCCTAACCCTAACCCTAACCCTAACCCTATCCCTAACCCTATCCCTAACCCTAACCCTATCCCTAACCCTATCCCTAACCCTATCCCTAACCCTATCCCTATCCCTATCCCTAACCCTATCCCTAACCCTAACCCTAACCCTAACCCTTGAAATTCTCGCTGGACCGTAATTACTGACATTGTTTTAGCAAATGTCATCACACAAAACGCCTTCTCTTTGCTTGATTCCGCCATTTTGAAAACAGCGACCCCTAGCGACGCCTAGCGGCATTAACGTACATGTGTGTTGCTCAAAAAAAACTTTGATAGTTTATCTGTCGCTACGTAGCTGTGGTTTGGTTACAGTAAACATACATTCCTCTAAAATTAATTTTCTTATTGGCCTATTCATTTTGACTAACCCTGTATTTATTTACCATGCTGGAAGGAAACAGCTTAGATCAGTGGTTCTCAACCAGATGTTTTGGCCTTCAACTCCCAAAAATCTTAACAGCTGGTAAACTGGATGGGATTTCTGGGAGTTGTAGGCCAAAATACTTGGGGACCCACAGGTTGAGAACCATTGGGTTAGATGTTCTTCCAAAGCAAGACCACACTGTTGATGACAGGTTTGTATTTACTCACATTGGTTCAGACATCACAGCCAATGTTCAAACATGACTGACAGCATCCAGGGCAGTGGTTCTCAACCTGTGAGTCCCCAGATATTTTGGCCTTTAACTCCCATAAATCCTAACAGCTGGTAAACTGTTAGGATTTATGGGAATTGTAGGCCAAAACATCTAGGGACTCAGAGGTTGAGAACCACTGATCCAGGAGGATGGCTTTATACATTCTTAGATTACAGTACTCTAGAAAATATGTCATCAATGCCTGATTGTAGCATATAAGCAGTATTTTTTAAAACATAATGACCTCCAAATGCCCCCTAGAAGGCCCAGGAGAAGACTTTTTTCTAAACAGGAAGTAAACAGGAAATGCTCACATTCTGTTGATAAAAAAAGACTTCTCAATTTAAAATAGTCTGAGGGGGACAAGAAAATGACACACACGCGTGTGTGTGTGTAATTTTATTAAGGTAAGGGGGAGTAAAGTGGAATATGTGTCACTCCAACATGTCCTGGAGGACTAAAACAGCTCCCCCACAGCCTTTCACAGTTACCCATTCCTGGCTTAGATTCATAGAAGAATTAGAGGTGAAACATTAACAAAATAACATAATTACTCTCTGATTTTCTGAATCAAGGGGAGGCAAAAATGTTATTTTCAAAGGCTGAAAGTTGTGTTACAACATGTAACAAGTAAGTCGTGTTTATTGTTGCCATTTACTTTAGATCCATAACGTAACTGGGTATAAGAGCTTTGTATATTTTGTATCCTATAAAAAAAGACCTATGTGCCATTCAAAGTAGCACAGGAACCTTGCATGTCACTTCCAATTCCAAATGCCACATAACTTTATTGAGTGACACCTTGTGCTCCACTGCATTTGGTTGCTGTGGAATTCTTGTAGTGGTTAAAACAAGTGGGAGTCATGTGGAACTGAAGGTGTTGCTAGACTGCAAATCCCAACACCTATGGCCATCCTAGCCAATGGGTGATGAATGCTGGGAACTGCAACATTCTTTGACCTAGAGATAATGTTGCATTACTGAATATTTATTTACCGTGTCAGAAGCGAATTGAGGATACAGTTATAATGTATAAAAAACCACAAAGTTGTAAAAATCACAAACATAGTTAAAAACCATAAAGCAATGGGGATTTTGGCATCTGAAAGCAACTAGCAAATTTCTGTTTTGCTTTAAGCATCATAACATGATTTATTAATAATAAAAAATAGCTCAACATCCCTAACCACCTTGAATAGATAAGTTAAATGACAGTGATTGATGTCTCAAGAAACAGGGCAAATTATTCTTTTTCTTAAAAAATGATTAACAATTGTTGTCTTTTGTTTCTCAATGAGTAATGCAATAAATTATTTTTAAGGCAACATTCTAAGCTCTGGAAAGGCAGAGCTTAGAATGCATTACGGAACAGAAAAGAAGAGAAAGGTGAGGTGTAGGAAGAACCTAAAACAAAAGACACTGCTTCCCAGAAAAAGAGAATAGAGTTGGCACTAACAGGGCTACTTATTCTGGGATGATACAATGAGAAATGGGGGAAAAAACCCCTCCTGACTGGCCAGGATTATTTTCTTTTCTTTTAATTCATTCCTATTTCAGATTTCATATAGTACCCTTGATGAGGCTGGATACAAAAGCTTGGGAGATCTTCTATGTGCATGGTGTTATATTCCACCATGCAGAAGAACCTCAGGTTCAATTCCTGTCATCTTCAGTTAAATACCAACCATCTGATAGATGGGGGTAAACTCTGCCTAAGAAAATGGAAAGCTATTGTCAGTCAGAAAAGATAGGGCTATGCTAGATGGACAAATGGTACAGATCTCTGCATGGATCTGTACTCATGTTTTCAATAAGACCAAAACATGAATACAAACAAGAGCCATCGTCTTCGTGTAAGTTACTATATAACCAATTCCCTATTTGATGACAGGGATCACTTCCTGACTTTTATTAATAACATGTGTACTTACCCCAAGAAATATATTTTTTGAAGAGTCAAATCCTGCTGCAAAGATTCTGGCCGTATATGGTGCATTCCTATCGCAGACAATACGGCATGCAAACCGGGAGATAGTGCTTTGGGTGATCTGAGTTTCATCACTGTTCTGGCTGCCAGAAATTGTATCTGTTACAACAAAATCTATGGGGCTCTCAGTCGATCTACCAACCTGAAAACATTAAAAACATGTTTGAAAGAAATGTCTTAAGTGAAGCCCTGGAGAGTTTTAAAAAGCTGTGCAGAGCACAATATCAAGTATATAGACAAGAAACATGTGATCCTCAAGAAACATGTGTACAGAGGTGTTTGTAATGTGATCTGCAAATCAGTTTTAAAAACATATTTTTATGATTATCTTTAAAACATTATGAGAAAAATCACTATTATATCATATAATAATGTTAGTTGAAAAATGATACACATTATCCCTAAACTCCAGGTACAGACTTCTTTTATGAAAAACATGTTCCAGCCAATGTTTGGAGGGCTAGGTGCACACTACAGCTTAGCCACAGATATGCTAAGATACTTCTGGGAAACCACTATCTCAGCCTTAGAGTGAGAACAGCGAGCAAGAATATATGGCAAAGGGTTCCAAAGAGAAAAAAAATAACAGATAAATTAAAACATGTCGTACATTAAAATGTCATGTAAAGGTTAATAAAAAGTCCAGTTTCCATCTCTGCAAATGACATATAAATAAGTATAAGCTTCTGGATCTTTGCTCATTTTTAACTTCGAGTGGCTCCAATTATCTGTGCTCACCTAGACAACTTTCTGCAGTCTACAACACTGATTAGGGGAATTATTACACACAAAGGCCTATTTACTATTACTGTTGTGAAAAACTCAGTTGTGCTTCCCCAAATCAGCCATAAGCTTCCAATATTTTAAAGGTGAACAGTTACAGTTAAACATGAGAGCCTTTGAAAGCTACAGCATCTTTTGCTCAAGTGAGTGACCAGTGTGAGGAACATGAGCAAGCAGCAAGAGGGTGATCAGAAGTGACCACCAAACACGGCCCTTCTTTCTGCCACAATGACTGAAAGCTTGGCTCAGTGTTCCGCAACTTGTAAACTATCAGTTCAACCTTGTAAATCATACTTTCAAACATTTTATAACCTTGTTAAGATGTTACTAGCTGGATTTCCATGCTGGCATTGGGAGATTCCCCTCCCATTGTGGCCAACATGGAAATGTGTGCTAGTTTGAGAAACTGTCTTCTACTGACTGGAATAGTGAAGATGAGGTAACAGTGTCTCAGAGAAAGGCCTTTCTTGGACAGTTAGTTTCCCTTAACCAGCCTTTTTCACCCACTTGCATGGAATTCTAAATTGCTTATTTCTACCAGTGAAATTTCAAATACAAGTCTGCATCTGATGATATCAATACATTTTATTAACATTTTCATGCTTTTGTGAACTTTGTACCTGCAGAATTAGCTGGTACTCTCTGAAAGCCTTGATTTGTACTAGATTGTACTTGGATTGCACCTATTTATCTATAAGGTGTTTACATGGGCCCTGAAAGGTCACATCTTAGGGTGCAACTACACTGTAGATTAGAATAAATGCAGTTGGACACTTTAACTTTCCCGGCTCAATGCTATAAAAAGAAGGATGAAAGTGTGGAAGGGAGGGAAATAAGAAGGAAAGAAAGAAAAAGTAGGGAAAGACAAAAGAGAAGGAAGGAAGGGAAGTACACCACAATTGAGCTGGGCACCACAACTGAAGAGATATTGAATGTGTCCAGAGGAGGGCGACTAAAATGATCAAGGGTCTGGAGAACAAGCCCTATGAGGAGCGGCTTGAAGAGCTGGACATGTTTAGCCTGCAGGAGAGAAGGCTGCGGGGAGACATGAGGGCCATCTCTAAATATGTGAGGGGAAGTCATAGGGAGGAGAGAGCAAGCTTGTTTTCTGCTGCCTTGGAGACTATGACGCAGAGCAATGGTTTCAAACTACAAGAAAAGAGATTCCATCTGAATATTAGGAAGAACTTCCTGACTGTGAGAGCTGTTCAGCAGTGGAACTCTCTGCCCCGGAGTGTGGTGGAGGCTCCTTCTTTGGAGGCTTTTAAATAGAGGCTGGATGGCCATCTGTCAGGGGTGCTTTGAATGCAATATTCCTGCTTCTTGGCAAGGGATTGGACTGGATGGCCCATGAGGTCTCTTCCAATTCTATGATTCTATAAGTAGGAAAGACAAAAGAGTAGGAAGGGAGGAGGAAGGAAAAAGAGAAGGACGGAAAGGAAGGAGGAAGGTAAGAGAGAAGGAAGGAAGGAGAGAAGGAAGAAAAGACAAGAAGGAGAGGGAGGGAGGGAGGGAGGGAGGGAGGGAGGGAGGGAGGGGAAGGAAGAGGGAGGGAGGAAAGAGGGAAGGAAGAAAGGTCGAAAGAGTGGAAGGAAGGAGGGAGAAAGAACGAGGATGGGAAGGGAGGTAAGGAGGAAAGTGAAGGATAGGATGGTGAAAGAGAGGAGGACCCGAGAAAAGAGCCCAGGGGGTCGCATCCAACCCCTAGGCCTGGGTTTGCCCATACCTGGTATAGATGCACCCAAAAATCTCTCAGCAAGCGAAATGATAAGGACTAAGTTGAGGGGGAATAGTGAAGTGACCAAGTTTACAAATGATACTGAGTTATTTACGTTGCTAAAATAAAAGGAGATTCCCAAATAATTCCACAAGGATCATTCCCAAATGCAAATGAATCAATGCAAGTGAGCATAAAATTAAGAACACTGGAGAGGAAAAAAACCTCGTAACTGCATGCATAAACTGATGGGAATAGAGCTGGCAGTGAATGACCAAGACAGACTTGGGAAATGTGGTATAAAAATATTGTGCCACCAAGCACCTGTTGCGAAGGTGGTGAATTTCATTCTCAGCATAATTGGAAAAGAAGAAAAAAATAAATCTGCTGAAAAGCCTTCAACAAATCTGTTACAGAGACCACACTTTGAATACTGCATAAATACTGCTCACAACTCAGAAGAGGATATTTTAGAGCTAACAGAGCGGTAGAACAGGGCAAATGAACTTTATATGAAAAGGCCTTTTCATATAACATGTCTGGGGTCTTATAGCTCACAAAAATGGCAAAGATGCAATACTGTGGGGGAAATAGGAAGCTGTTTCCCATTCTCTCTCTCTCTCTTAATATTAGAGCAGGGGGTCATGAACTACTAGTGAATGGTTGGAGATTCAGAAAGAAATACATCTTCACACTACAACGCTTCAAGAGCTGAATTCACTGCTACAAGGTTAAATGACTGCCTCCTATTTGGGTAGCCATAAAACTGGAATAAAACAAAATCATGGAAAATCAGAAGAAACATATTCTATGGCTATGTTTATATGCTAAGGGAGGGGGAAGGATACAACCTGTTTTTGCACATCTGTGACTCTTTATATTCATCCTTCAGTAAATATACTATCAGAAAGATCTAGAGCACATCATTAAATTAAAGCATAAATAATGCAGAACCTACTATTTCCCACTGGGAGTGTTATCGAAAGAGCAAGAATGGGAAACAGTCCAGGCTCAAGATTATTATTGTAAGGCCCATGGAATGTCTTCGCTCTTTTGTCAACAACAAAACTCAGTGACAATAGCATGACACACTGGGCAAAAAAGGGACTTAAAAATACAGAATGATAATAGAAAAAAAATGCAGAGTTCCTATTTTAAATGTGTCTAATATATGAACTGTTTCAAGCTTCCAGTATGGAAAATTCTTTAGCCTCGGGACGTTGGTTTTTTCTGTGGGGTGTATCTGTGTATGGCCCTTCAATACAGTCTCAGCCCCAAATATTTACCCATTTCTGAACTTCACAGATGCCTTTTCAATACATTCATTTGCAATGTTTATGTGTTCATAGTATATGCTTATTACACTGAAGCTATAAACTTCTGCAAAGCAGCAGATGAGAATCAACCATGCTGAGAATTATTCTTTCAGTAATAATGAAAACAATAATATATTTTTATTTGAGTATTGAGGAAGCATTTCTAGAAAACATATTTTAAGTATGTAGCTATTTTACATAATTGTTAAGAAAACTTACCTGAAACATATCTGTATCTTTATCATGTGTATATTCCACTACAACCGTCTGATTTCTTGAGAGTGTGTAGGAAATACTATGTTGCCCTTTACAGCTGATGGCCTGTAGAATTAAGTGACACTTCAGTCAGAGGAAAATAAAACACTTTGCTAAAGCATTTCTAAATGCTATTATACACAAGATCAAGTTCTCCCATCGCTTACCACAATATGGTTAAAAGTGTAGCTACTATTTTACATGTTTTTCTGGATCACAACAATAAATATAGATTCACTTCTAGGAGACTGGGAGCTGGTGGAAAATCTTCCACCTGGAAACCAATGCCCTCACTGCGGAAGAAGATGCAGATCAAGAAAAGGGCTCCACAGTCACCTACGAACCCACCACCAGGACACCGAACTTGGAGGACCATCATCCTCGGACTACGAGGGATCGCCTAAGTAAGTAAGTAAGTAAGTACTGGGAGTTACCTCTTATGAAAGACAATCTGTGATTCAAAAATAATGAACAAAAACCCCTTAAACTTTTTCACACTTATTTTAAAAAGCCAGGAGACAGGCACATGTCCTGCTCCAAATTCAGTGCCTTTTTATGCTGGGAATGTTTTCCCAGAAGACTTTCACTGCATAATGTCAAGGATCAAATTCCTCTTCCAAATCTACAACCCTCTTTTTTCTCCTTTTGTGCCTCAGCGCTCCAATATGGTTAGCTGCTATTTTGATGGGCAGCTTTTCTCTACTATTCTCTTTGTAGGGGTCCACATGTTTTCAGTCTGTTCTAAAATACCATAAATAGTGCAGGTTTAATATTAAGAAATGTAACACAATTAATGGACATGAATCTTCAGTGCAACCATTCAAACTTCACCAACTTTTTGGTGCACACTTTTTTCTCATTTTCATCAGCAAAGACAGGAGCCACTGGTGGTGCAATGGATTGACCCGGCAGGACCGCTGACTGACAGGTCAGCAGTTCGAATCCAGGGAGAGCGGGTTGAGCTCCCACTGTCAGCTCCAGCTCCCTATGCAGGGACATGAGAGAAGCCTCCCACAAGGATGGTCAAACATCAAACATCCAGGCTTCCCCCTGGGCAACGTCCTTACAGACGACCAATTTTCACACAGCAGAAGCAACTTGCAGTTTCTGAAGTTGCTCCTAACATGAAAAAAAATCAGCAAAGAGAAAGAAAATAAGAGAAAACATAAAAAGACTGCCTGTAGCGATTCCATCCAGACCCAAAAATTACTTTTAGGAAGCAGTGCTTTCCAAAAATACCAAAATTTCTTGTTTCTACTAACACAGATCCTTAAAGGAGAGATTTTAATTTTCTTAAAACATGAAATAAAAAGAAGGCAAAGCAAGCAGCATGTGCTCCTTCAAGCATCATGAACATCATTGTTTCATGGAATATATGAGCCAAATGACATCCAGTCAACTGACAAAATCTAACCAACTGCTGAGATCAGGCCGTTCTCATAATACAGGAAATAACACCAGCAATAAAGAGATGTGCATCAAAGTCTGGAATAATCTGTTAACAAGAATGCGCTTGAAGGCCAGTTCTCAGCATCTACATTCTGTTCATTCTCTGTTAGTATGGAATTACTGGTGCAAGCAAGATAAAAGACTATTAGCCAATTAATTGGGCTCTTCACTTCTCTTCCATGAACACGGGCCATTTCACCATTTATATTTTACAAGATATGTTATGTGTACATCTAACAGCGCAAATGCAATGGAAAGAAGGAAAAATTCTTGCATTACACAGGCATGTTTGTCAGTCTCAGGCTTGGTCACAGTTCTCTGGTGAGTAAACACATGTGGCAAACAAAACTGACTGTCGAGTAATGTGAAACAGTTCCCCCCAAACTACTTACAGTATATTCTGGCGTATAAGACTACTTTTTAACCCAAGAAAATCTTCTCAAAAGTCAGGGGTCGTCTTATACACGGGTGTAGTCTTATGTATGGGAGTCATCTTAACTCTATATTTTAACTGGAAAAGTTGGGGGTCGTCTTATACGCCCAGTCGTCTTATATGCCGGAATATACGGTATATGTTTTTTTCCCTGATGGGAGTGGGATCACACACAAAGACCCAAGCATCCCCTTATTAAGAACCACAGTGAAAACAGCAATTCATATTTTGATGTAAACAAGAATGCTTCAGCTTCAAGGTGATGAACTTAACACAGACTGAGTAGCTTACAAAATTCACCAATAATGTGATTTTCTGTGGTAGGATGGACATTACTACCTACACAAGAGGTTAACCAAAAACTGAACAATGCATACATCTGAAATTGTCCTTGTGATATGGCTTAAATCCAATTAAATAAATCTCTTTCTTGAAACTTTGTGCCTTGCTCTCAGCCACAATAACAAATTCAGGTTAATAAAAGTTTACTTTCTGTAAATGTCAAGCATAAGGGATTTATGGTCCTCAACATGTTGGATTACAACTCCTATTATCTCTCTCCATTAGATATGCCTGGGTAAGACCTACAACCAAGCAATGTCTAAAAAGACATTTGAGGTCAGGGGTGGACAAAATGCAGTCTCCAAATGTATTTATTTATTTACTCCATTTATATACCGCTTTTCTCAACCCTTGGGCAACTCAAAGCGGTTAACAATAGCAAAATTCAATGCTCAGAACATTATAAAAACAGTTAAAAACAATTTAAAAAATAGCATAATAATCAATTAAACATCAATATAACATTTCATTAGCATCTCATAGATAGAATCAAGATCCAATCTCATCATCCACTGCTTCATATTCCTATATTCATTACACTGCCTATTCAAATGCCTCCTCGAACAACCAGGTCTTCACTTTCCTCCGAAATGCTAACAGGGAGGGAGCCAATCTAATTTCTGTAGGAAGGATGTTCCACAGCCGAGGGGCCACCACTAAGAAGGCCCTGTCTCTCGTCCCCACCAGACGTATTTATGCTGCAGGCAGGACTAAGAGCAGGGCCTCGTGTATGTAAGTATGAGTCTTGGTACAGGAGTCTGTTTGAATGAAGTACCCTTAAAGATTCAAATTTAAATTTGGGATGGTTAACATGAATGTAGAAATACATTTTAATTTGTGTATTTTATATAATGTTTATGATGATTATGTGTTTAGCTATGTTTAGCTCCTTGAGCCACACGGAGAGGCGTGTAATAAATAGAATGATAGAATAATAGAGTTGGAAGTGACCACATGGGCCATCTAATCCAACCCCCTGCCATGTAGGAAAAGCGCAATCAAAGTATCCCTGACAGATGGCCATCCAGCCTCTCTTTAAAAGTTTCCTAGGAAGGAGCTTCCTCTACACTTCAAGGCAGAGAGTTCCACTGTTGAACAGCTTGTACAATTAGGAAGTTCTTCCTAATGATCAGGTGGAATCTCCTTTTCTGTAATTTGGATCCACTGCTCCTAGTCCTAGTTTCAAGGGCAGCAGAAAACAAGTCAGCTCCCTCTTTCTTATGACACCCTTTCTTTCACACATTTATACATGGCGATCATGTCTCCTCTCAACCTTCTCTTCTGCAGGCTAAACGTGCCCAGTTCTTTAAGACGCTTCTCATAGGGCATGGTTTCCAGAACTTTAATCATTTTAGTTGCCCTCCAATGGACATCTTCCAGATTATCGATATCTCTTTTGAGCTGTGGTTCTCAGAACTGGACACAGTATTCCAGCTGACATCTAACCAAAGCAGAATACAAAAGCACCATGGCTTCCCTCAATCTAGACACTAGATGATGAATGGCCATTGTTCAAAAATGTTTAATTCATTTTTCTTTTAAAAAACAAATTGGGCAAGGTGTTCCTAATTAGTTGTTTTCAGCTCAACTGGAGGTCTGTCCCTATTGGCTTGTGAGAAGGCCATGATAACTTTTAACAAAACTCTATCCGATGTATGAGCTGATATTTTAAGATCTGGTGAAAATTCTTTCTTTCCAATTAATTCTGTATATGATGCATTACATTGCATACTCTACGTTGTATCACCACTATTTAAACTTCACTTCTTAACTAAACATTTGGTTTCTGTTAGCATTAAGAAATCCATGAATACTATTTCTTTAAGCTTTTATATGCCAGGTGCTTTAGAAGTCCATTCACTTGGAATGTCCTCTAAAACAAAGACAGATTCATTGTACTTATTGCTACCAGATGTTGTTTTTCAGCTGGTTATTTTGTTTAACAGATGAAAAAGCTTTGAAAAATTGGAATAGTGAGAAATTGTATTTTGAAGTTATTTTATATTTTAAATTTAAATTCTCAGATTGATTTACAGCTCCTCTGAGACAGCCATATATGAGTGTCAAAGTCTATTAATTCTGGGTTGTTGGCTTGCCCTGTTGTTGAAATGATATAAAGCCTGCAGAATGTACTGCTTACAAATCAAAATATATCCACTTTGTATTACAAACACAAAATGAACATAATTAATTTGATAGTCCAAATTAAAGAGAGTAAAATAATTCAGGAAAAAATATAATGGAGGCACAATTGATTTAAAACAGAGGCATCATGGAGGCCAACTTGGGGTGCATGTACACTGTCAAATTGATGCAGTTTGACACCTTTTTAACTGGCATCACTCTTCGGCAGAGAAAACTGAAGGCCTTGCAAATCTACAACTCCAACGATTCCATAGCATGAAGCCACAACAGCTGAAGTGGTGTCAAACTGCAAAGCTTATTTTGTTTGTGTTTGCTATCCTAAAGCATTAAGGGATGCCAATTCTGTAACTAATCAATAGCTTTTTGGCAATAATTATGTTCTTGTACATGACCATATCTCATGAGAATTTTGGTAGCAGCTTTTTAAAGGTCTCTGTCTCGATAGCTGTCTCTGAACAGTTTTGACTGTCAATGGAAAATCAATTAGTGTCAGATTCAATTCATAGTGTCTTGAAACTATACAGTTATGTGATAAGACTTATCTTATTACAATATTGGGCCAGTTGTAGTGTGTGCTAGAGCTCAGCTTTCTTATGTTAAAGACTGTCACTTTGTTTATAGAGAAGATGTATTATAAAACTTATACAGTAGAGTCTCGCTTATCCAACCTTCCCCCAATTCAACGTTCAGTATTATC